TGGAGGAGGCGGTGGGTTGGCCATCTCTTGCTCGTTGTCAAGATTATCCTCCGACTCGGAATCCGTATAAGCTAGAGAAAATTCCGGCGTGCCTTGTAGGAGCCTTCTTACGTTCCTCAAAGTTTTATTTAACTCCGGATCTACGGGGATAAGCGGTGATTGCTTACTCCTCCGTGTCATGCACAGTCAAACAAAGCTAAGGAAAACGTTAGCAATGACTATCACAAAGTAAACACGCTTAGACAAAAACAAAATAAGAAGATTATATACATATACACAAATCTAGACTCATTCAACAATAACTTATTCAATGTGACTTTGCCTCCCCGGCAACGGCGCCAAAACTTGATAGGACGTCGTCAACCTATCAAGAAATAAGACCTAACTCGATCCTACTCAACTAGTAGCAAGGGCAAGAAAGGGTCGAACCCATGAGAGGCGTTGAATCAACCACCAAATGTTATTGTTTAAACAAGCTAGATTAAGTCGGGGGTTTTAAGTTGGTATTACGTCACACTATTCTAATTCAAATCAACTAATTCTAAGAGGTGATTAACAATATTAAGAAGGCCTAGGGCATGGGTTACACCACTCAACTTCATCACGGACCACAAGTAGCATGCATAGAAATGGTGATTTAGGGGATAAATTAGGGGAAGTTATCAAATGCACCCAACTACTCTCTCAAGCTAGAGGGATTACTTGACATCAAAACCATAACCTACTCTCGTGATTATGGGCAAGAAACAAGTGTTAAAACATCCTCACGATAACATGCAAATTCCCTTGACTAGAAATTCCTATTCTCATGGAAAATCAAGTCAATCAAGCATAAGGGAGCTTCCTCAAGTTCATCTCTCGATCCTTCGTTGAGGAAGCTAGATAAATAATTCAAGCAATGGCCAATTACAAGAATTAACAATGAAACCTCATAAAATCAACTAATTAACACCCCACAATTAACAAATTAGTACATGCAACAAGTGTTGGTGATTACATTGAGGGTTCACCCAAACCCTAGAAATTAGACTACTCACAATCCATGGAAGTTAAAGCAATTAAAGATTTCAAGGAATTCATGAACAAATTAAAACTAAGAATTAAGTAGAATCTAACAATTAAACATGCAAAGAACAACCAAACAATTAATAAAAAGCAAGAATTAAAGATAGAAGAGAGAAAGAAAGAGTAAGAAAAATTACTAGAAGCTTCAATAATTGACTAACAATGGTGGAACTTGTCTTCTACAATGATTGGATTGAAAAACCTTCAAAACAAGAACTAAAATCTATGCTAATTTGAGGATTTTTGTGTTTCAAACTAAGAGGAGTATGAAAATCTGGAAAAATTGGGAACCCCTCTAAAATGGTCCAAAGGGGCTATTTATATTACCCCCTAAAATAAGAGGACGGTGAAAATAAGAAACGGGTAAACTGTAGGTCTGCACGGACGTGCAATATTTGGCACGTCCGTGCTGCCTCATAATCACGGAAGCACGTCCGTGCTGCATCATCTGCACGGACGTGCAATATTTGGCACGTCCGTGCAGGCCTTGGCAGAAAGATGGGTTCAGGTCTGCACTCCTGCACGGACGTGCTACATCTTGCACGGCCGTGCAGGGTCTTCTGGGCCCTTTTCTTCGTGTTTTCTTCTACGATGCTCTTGTACTTGGATTCTTTCCATCATTTCCTTGCTTCTAACCTCGGTTTGGTAACCATGGGCTTCATTTGGTCGTCTTTGGACCTAAAATCTCAACAAAAACACTAACAACCCGTGAAGCATAGGATACACAAAAATTGCATAATAATAGGGTAAAAGTGAACCAAAACACAAATTTGTTCAGGTAAACTAGGTTCAAATACGCCCTAAAACCGCATAAAATAGCAAGTTATCATCGATCCAATCAACAAATTCCAACTATCACCTATCATGATACTATTTAGAATTAATTAAACAAAGCCTAGCATGCTTCTATACACTTAAACATTACCAAGTACGCAAACGTATCTTGAATATGATTCAAAATCGCCACGACTAAATAAAATTACTCACTTGGAAGTCTCCTACAAACCAAAATTATAAACTCAATTACTCCCTTGATTGCACAAATTTTCAGCAACTTTTAAACACTTTAAACCCTCTCTAATAAGCTGAAATTTTGGTTTAAAACCTTTAAAACTCTTTCTTTAAGTGGGTAATTAAAACCACAAAGTAAAAACTCATTCATAGTGTTTATATAAAAATTCCAACAATATATACACTCTTTAAATCACTCAAAAACCCTATAAAATAATCTGAAATTTAATTTGAAACCCTTACTTTTATTCCCAATTAATGGATAATTAAAAATCCTTTCAAGAAACTTAATTATAACCTTTTTATAAAAATTACAGCTTTATTAAACCATCAAAAATTTCTATAATTATGTTTAAAAACATTAATTTCAATAGTTTAAATTACCCACAATCCAATTCCATCAATATACATTAAGTTAGAAACCTAGGGTTTTCAATTTGGGGCTTTTTGACTAAAAACTAAATCTGAAAATTAATTAAAACATTAATCCTTCGTTAAAAATAAAAAACTGCCCGAAAACCATATTTAGAGCTGAATTTGGCCACGAGAGGTAGTGAGTTTTGATTAAAACGTTGTTTATACACGAAAAAAACTATTTTTTTGTAAAAATCGGACGAGTAAGAATCTAAACGTGATTAAAACGTTAAAATTAAAAATAAAGGGGAAGGACAAAATTAAGGAGAAAAGAAAATAAGAGGAGAGAGAGAATTTACCTTTGGGTGCACTCCACCCTAGAGACATGATGGGTATTTACACCCTTTCTCATAACCTCCTACTTACTACCCTTAATAATCCCTTTCCTACTCAAATTAGGATTCCTAATCAAACTAGGATTTTGACTTTCTTTAAAACTTTGACTTTTTAAAATTATTCTTTTATAAAATAATATGCCCCAATATTTTTAAATCATAAAATAAAATATTTTCAAGATTATTTAATAATCAAAATCATTCTTTTTAAATTAATGAAAACCCTAAATAATTCATTTCAAATTATTTAAATACTTTTAAGAAAATACTTATTTAAATTAAAATACGTATAAAACTACGGGGTATTACACATAACAATTGCAACACTTTTCAATTTTATATGTGATTCAAAATCGAAAAACTATAAGATGACGTCATTATGAAGAAGAAGGAGTGCAAGTAGTGTTGCTGCATATAATATGGATGTAGGCAAAAATTTGTAGTTCATAAGCTTCCCATGAAAAGGCTAACCCAATACTTGGTACCCAATTTAACCGGTTTGGTACTGAGTACACAAAATTAAACCTGGTTCTATCGAGTACCTAGTGGGTGTCGAGTCCAAAATTCCCAAACTAGAAATTTAAATTGGTTCAATCAGGGATTTTTTTTTTTTTTTTACCCAATTTTTTTATTTTTTATTTTATGTATTTGAAATTTGACCTAAACCTAGTAAAATTGACTTTAGATTTGGACTTGTCACTTCTAAATCAGTTCTAGTTCTAAAACTAGGTCACCGGGTCGTTTGCTCATCCGATCCCATTAGTATACTTCCTATGTTCTAAATGAAATGACCATTTTGATTTCAACACTATTCATAAACTTTACTTTAACTAACATTTGTGTTTTATAGATATGAAAAAAAAACATAGTCATGGGATTTTGTTATATTCGTTTTATTGTGTATTAAATTAAAATAAATTTTATTATCTTTATTAATAGTATAATTAAGTACTCCATATATTTTTTATTAAACTTTTACATTAGCAAACGTGATAAAATGAAGAAAATTTTATATTACCACCCATAGATAACCCATTTTTTAAAATTATCACCCATGAAAAATTTTGTATTAAAGTATCACCAAAAGAAGACAAAAAAAAAAATGGATTTCACCACGAAAACCGTTAAATTTAACATTTTAGAATTTTTTTTTATTTTCGTGTCAAAAACATATTGTTTAGAGGTTTTGGGGGTCATTTTTATCTTTTTGATCTGATTCGAGGTCAAAATTGACAAAACATTATCGAAAATGCTTCATTTTGCGTGTTTCACGCAAGCTGAGGTATTTTTATTTGTAAAACGTGGCACTTTCAATATCTTTTTTTAATTTTAACCTCAAATAGGACTCAAAGGGAAAAAATGACTCCCAAAACCTTTACAAAGCATGTTTTTAGCACAAAAATCAAAGAAATGTTTTAAAAAATGTTAGATTTAACGGTATTCTCAACAAAAAGTGTTAAATGGTGATGAAATCAATTTTTTTTTGTCTTTTTTGGGTGGTATTTTAAAGTATTTTTTTAATGGTTGGTATTTCAAAAAGTGGGTTATTTATAAGGTGATGAAATACAAATTTTCTTAAATAAATGTGTTATATAATTTGAAACGGCAGAAGTGTGTCATCAAAATAGAACACTTACAAAATCAATTGGAATACACCCTTCTTATTTTAATAAGTATTGCACTTATCAAATGCGGCCATATTTTAATAAGTGTTATACTTTTTTTTTTTTTTTTCCAAAACACTTTTTTATACTTTGTATTATATCTTCTCCTTTCATTCTCACCACCAAAACCTACTACTCCGTATTTTTTTTTAATTATTTTTTTGAAGGAAAGAAAGATTTTTAATTATTTCTTTCCGCTCATATTCATTATTTTTTAATAAACAATTAACCCCACTATTTTTTATAATTTTTTAATACTTTAACTACACCACTTATCTCTTATACTACGTATTACATAAGACAATTAAATTGCTGAAATTATGTTCTAATCAAAATGTAACACTTTTTAAAATATTGAGAATATTATTATTAACAAAAAAAAATTCAAATCTGAACCGTCCAAAACCTGTCCTAAAGCTTCCAAAGCAAAGATGGCTAGTTGATCTTTCTCAACTCTGACAAAAACATAAAAAACAAATAAATAAAAACAACTTCTCTACCTCGACTCTTCCAACCTTTCAACACTCTTTTTACTATTCTTTCCCTCTTAAATACCTCCTTTTCTCTCTCTATTCTGCCCCTTTTTTCTCCACTCAACACTTTCTTTCATTTTTTTTCTGGGTTTTTTCTCAGATTTGTCAAGTGGGATTTGAATGGTTTTTCAAGATTTTTCACTAAAATGAAGTCAGATAATTCAATGGCGGTTTTACTTGGTTTTCTGCTTCTACTTCTTCTTCTTCTTCATTCTGCTTTTTCTGCTGATGAAAGTAAGTACTTTTCATTTTCTGGGTTTTTATTATTTTTGCTAAAAAGATTTACCCACAAAAATGCTCATTGTTCTTGCTGTTTTCTGTTTATCTTGCAATTTGAGGTAAATTTGCTGGTTTGTTGTATTGTTGCTGCATTTTGGTTTTTTTTTTTTTTTTTTTTTTTTTTTTTTTTTTTTTTTTTTTTTTTCTTTGTTTTAAAATTTTTCTTTTACTTCATAATTTTGAAATGTGCAAAAATTGGTCCCATCAATAGAAGTATAGAAGTAATAGAACAATTAACATTTTGATTAGTGTAAAATAGTTAATTTGGGTTCCAGCTCAATGTGCTGTTTTTTAAGGACAATGTTGGCATCTTAAGGAATATTTTAATGACAGCCTTGCAGTGTTTTGTAACCAACAAACTAACTTCAATAATTTAAACTTTAAGGGTATTAGAGTAGTTTTGGATTTATTTGAACATGATTTGAGTCCATTAATGATTTCGTAATTAAATGACTCTTGTTACAGTAATAAAGGATTAATGATTGTTTTACAATTCTAGATGATTTGTAAGGTAAGGTGATTTAAGTAGATTTTTTTCTATGGTATTTTTGCAATGTAGATGAGTTGTCGGGTGAAATAGTGAATTTTTTGCCTTTTTTCACCATGACTAGGTTCGAGTTTCGGTACCATTTCTTCCTAGCTAGTGTAGAGGAGGTAGTGGGATTGTTATGCTATGTTATGGACCGAGGAAGGCCGATAAGACCTTATGTTAACTAGTGAACTCGAAGGCTGTGGGAGTTCGTGAAGCATAATTGTTACCGTAGTGTGTCTAGTGAAGCTCCTTGTATTGATAAGGGTAGAAGGGTGGAGTTAGATGCAAGCAGTCTCATCATTTTGAACTATCAAGCAGCTATTTGTGTTAGACCCTTGATTTGAAATGCATTGATGGTCTGTTTGGTAGCTGGTAATGAGTGATGCAATGCAATGGTAATGAACTTGTAACTAGTTTTGGAATGAAAGTCTCATGTCAATGTACTTGGTATGATGGATTGATGGTAATGCAACTTTAAACTAGGTATTTGTCTTTCTGTATAAATTTTTTGTTACCAGTCTTTCCACTCATTGGAACCTCATATTTTTTATTGAGTGGCAATAGAAATTTGTGAAGAAAAGCACATACCTAGAAGCCAGAAAGCATTCTAATTATATTTTCACGAGACTTTCCTATAGCTCATCACCAGTCTTGCTATTTATTATTACCTTCTAAACATGCTGTGATAGTTTGTAACTTCACAGATATAAAATGTGTATGTAGAAAAATAATTAATATAGTCCTCTATTGCAAGAAACTATAATATTGTCAATGAGAATTCTTTCAGCTCCACTAGCAGTCGATGAGTACAAGGAACTTTTCATACCTTGAGTATGGACAATTTTCACTTTTCCTAGAACTGCAAAGATGTGAATTATAAAATTTTAATAGTCCTAATTTGTTGATTTTATTGTCATCACCAGTGCCAGAACTTCTGCATGATCATTATGTTGCCTTTTGTGGTTAGTATATATTTGTAATTGTCTCTAATATAGATGTAAAACAGAATTTAATGTCCTATGTTATTTAATCAAAACCAACCTACTTTGAAACCATGAATTCTGAATGTACGTCAGGTAAAGCAATATTTTGGGTTCTATTTCTGGCTCATGGAAGACTTCAGATTTACAAGCATTCGAGCACAAGCACAAAGCTTTGCTAGCTTATAAAAGCCTTCTTATGAAGAACACAACATTCAAATTATGCTAATTTACCACCTTATCCCTATCTTGTTAAGAACATGATGCAATGTTATCAATTTATTTGGAATTTACTGCTTCTACTAAATATCCCTTAAACTAATTATATTCAATTACTAATCAGGACCGTCCTAATAAGTAGTTTTAGGAATTTGGTATTAAGTGCGCTTAAATAGTACAGTACTGTCTTCACTTGCAATCAGTAGGAATGTGGGATACATTTATATGGCTTATAACTTGCTAGCTTTGACCACTATCTACAACTATTTGGCTATAGGACTTTAAAGGATTTGAAATTCTCGTTTTAATATACTTAAGGCTTTGGTTATATTACCTTTAGCATGGTATTAATACAATAATCTGTTTTGTAACTGAACTTGATTGGCATGACATTATTGCCATTGTCCTTTTGTCCAGCAGTGTTGTTACAGGTTATTCACAATTTTTCTTGATATTTTTTATGTCTTACTCGGTTTTACTACACTTCATCTCCTTCATATAAATTTTTATTGCTTGATCAAGTACCTTTCAACTCAATGATTTCACTTTTTGGAAAAGAAAATTTTTGGTAAATTGTTCACTTGAAAGTATTAGCAAACTCTTTTATAATTTTGTCTATTTCAACTTTAGTATCAGCGATATCCCCACATATGAGGTTAATTTTGTCATCTAAGATGATTGTAGTTGGAGTTTGAGACAGAACAATTTATGCCTTTCGAGATAGAAATCATTGTTTCATTCTGTTTTGTAAATAAAAACAGATATAGCATTTCTATGTTCTGTAGATGTGTTTTGTCTTTTCATTGGTAGCTATTTCCCATGAAATAAATATTTCATCTTTATCCCATTGATACTTTCTTCCTTTTCATTAAGACAATGATCTTTAATATCAATTCCATTGTTGGGTACATTCCATTTAGTATGTTCACTACCTTTGTCCGTGCATGAGCAACTGTCCTTGGAGACTTTTGATTCAATTTGTTTGTTTATTTGTTGCTTTGAGGTCTTAGTTGAATATAAAGAATGATATATCACATTGCTTTACTTTTGCGGTTTCAACTTTATGTCAATAGCTCTGAAAAATTGAAAGAAGGCCACTAATAAGTGTAAGAAATAGAAGGAATGATCTCTTAAGATTGAGAATTGGAGAAGATAATTTTTCATTTAAAGCTCTATTGATAGGATCTAGGGTGCAACCTTGATTAACATCAGATTTGGTTGATGTTTAATTTATTTTAAACTTATGACTATGATCAATTTGTTTTTGGGTCTTATACAAATTTATAACTATGGGCAATATAGAATAAAGTAAAAGTAAGTAGACAAAAATAAGGGACTTAAATGAAAAGCAGGTAAAATATACAAAGTGGAGGTAGTATGATCAATCAAAATCAAAGCCTTAATCCCATAAGTAGGGTCGGCTAACATGAACCAAATTTGATTATTCCGTGTAGTTATCGACATAAATCTTCCTCCTCCATCCCTTACGATCCAATGCTTCATCCTCATGCAAATCCATACACTTCATATCCTTCCTAACTCCTTCCAACCAATTAATTTTCGGTCTCCCTCTCTCTCGTTTAACCCCTCCATGGTCCCACTCTTCCACTCTTCGCACCGGTGCACCTTCGGGTCTCCGTCTTACATGCCCAAACCAACGCAGGCGATTTTCCCTTAGTTTATCAGCGATTTTCCCTTAGTTTATCTGCAATGTCTGCCACACCTACTTTCTTGCGAATAACCTCATTTCTGATTCTATTTCTTAGAGTGTTCCCACACATCCACCTTAACATGCACATTTTCGTATCTTTTTAATGTGCTCCTTCTTAGAAGCCCAACATTCTGTACAAGTGCATGTTTATCTTTGCATTTGGACATGTCTAAACCTTACAGTAACTTCTCCTTCATCTTACCTCTCCAGTTCTACTGCGGATATCTTCTTTCAGGTTTCATCTCTTTCTGCTTCTTCTCGTATACCAAACTTTGACAAACACATCTCTTTCCTGCAATTATCTTTCATGCATAGTCTTTTTTGAAAGCCCAACATATTGACCCATACAATAAAGCTGGATGACTAACTAAATATTTTGCTTCACCTTAGGGGCACATTGCATTCCTAGATTCTCCTCTATTACTCTCCATTTGTGCCATTCAGAGTTTCAGACTTGATCCTGTGCAAAACCTAATATATTTGCTTTCTGGATAAAAGACTTGTTGTACATAAATCTCTGATTAATAGGTTTACTGATATATTCATTTTTCTCCAGTTTCTAAATTTTTATGTGCTGAAATAGAATTTTCCAATTCAAGCTTTTCAATGTGAATAGGACTTATATGATTACTAGAGACGCTGATATTATACTACTGTCATTAAATTCAATGAAATTTGTTTTGAAACTATTTAATATGAATTGATACATTATAATCCCTACTAAATAAGTGGTCACAACTACGACAAAGACTTTTCAATGTAGATGGGTTTCAGTAGTCTTTTTATCTTAGAACTGTAGAACAAAGTAATTGTTATTCGAGGAGACAAAGAGGGAGGTCTAACAGACTTGGAAGATCCTGATTATGTTTGTATCATAAACCTATTTAACTATGCTCAAGTAGTTTATTGGGATGATTATTTGAGAAGGCATTTGATGAATGAATTTATCTGTCATCAACTCAGGACAAGTTATCTTGAATGTGGTATATTGAGAGAGAGTGCGTTTATTACCATCCTAAAATAAACTTGGCATCTGTGTCATCTTGCAGTATACAGCTTGAAACACGCAATTGGTGTTAGTCTATTGTGATTTTTTGGTGACATTGAATATTGTAATTTGTATTTCACTGAACAATTGTACTCCCTCTTGTGCAAAATTCTACTCTATGCAGATGCCTTTATAGGTGTTAATGTAGGAATGGATCTCTCTGATGTGCCTACTCCAACTCAGGTGGTCGCCCTTCTCAAAGCACAAAATATCCGACACATAAGGCTCTTTGATTCAGATCGGTCTATGCTCCGTGCACTTGCAAACACAGGAATACAAGTTACTGTCTCTGTTCCTAACGAGCAGCTTCTTGGAATTGGTCAATCAAATGCTACTGCAGCCAACTGGGTAGCTCGGAATATTGTGTCTCATGTACCTGCCACCAACATCACAGCCATAGCTGTTGGTTCTGAAGTTCTTACTGTCCTTCCAAATGCTGGTCCAATACTAGTCAGTGCCATGAAATACATTCATTCAGCCCTTGTTGCTTCAAATCTTGATTCCAGGATCAAAGTGTCAACTCCACATGCATCATCGATTATACTTGACTCTTTCCCACCTTCCCAAGCTTTCTTTAACCGTACATGGGACCCAGTTATGGTTCCCTTATTGAAATTTTTGCAGTCTACGGGTTCATACCTCATGCTTAATGTGTATCCTTACTATGATTACATGCAGGCTAATGGTACAATCCCCTTGGATTATGCCCTTTTCCGTCCTCTTCCCCCAAATAAAGAAGCTGTAGATACCAACACTCTCTTGCACTACACCAATGTTTTTGATGCCCTTGTTGATGCTTCTTACTTTGCCATGTCCTATCTAAACTTCATTAATGTTCCGGTTATCGTGACTGAATCAGGTTGGCCTTCCAAGGGTGACTCATCTGAGCCTGATGCCACCATTGAAAATGCTAATACATATAATAGTAATCTCATTAGGCGAGTTCTGAACAACACTGGGACACCCAAACATCCTGGAGTAGCAGTAAGTACATACATCTATGAATTGTACAATGAGGACTTAAGACCTGGATCAATCTCAGAGAAAAACTGGGGGCTTTTTGATTCCAACGGTGTACCTGTCTATACTCTGCATTTAACAGGTTCAGGGACAATATTGGCCAATGACACTACGAACCAAACTTACTGTATTGCAAAGGAAAATGCAGATCCTAAGATGCTTCAGGCAGCTTTGGATTGGGCTTGTGGGCCTGGAAAAGTAAACTGTTCAATTCTTTTGCAGGGAGAACCTTGTTATGAGCCTGATAATGTTGTCGCCCATGCAAATTATGCTTTTGACACTTACTACCATAAGATGGCCATGGCACCTGGTACCTGTTATTTCAATGGAGTGGCTACTGTCACCACTTCTGACCCAAGTAAGTATCACAAGGTTTTTAGTAAACTTTACAATATATTCTCTGCACCGTCCTGAGCAATGCTGAGCTCTTTTGATATTTGGACTAAGTAGTTGAGTCATTTATATAGCTGCTGTAGTGCTTTTATATGTTTCCCTCTTACAACTTCAGTATATAAGAGGAAGAGAATTGTCCGAACTCTTTCTCCCTAAAAAAAAAAATAAAAAACTTTGCCAGTGCTTATTCTCAGACAGTTTTCCAATAATACTGAAGCATTGGATTACTCACGCTTCTGGTTTACTTGCTTAATAATTGTGGCTGTATTTATGATCTATGGAATAACTAATGTATTCGTTTCTGCAGGTCATGGCTCATGTATATTTCCTGGAAGGTATGTATTGATTTTTACCCTCTGATCATTTAGCTGTTTGTACACTTGATATCATGTTTCTTTTTGTTTGTTTTAATTTGGATTAGGGCCTATTGCTGTTGTATGAGCTCACCAGTTACGTATCTGCCTAGTATTAATATATCTTGTTTTACCTTTCGCAGTGGTGGAAGGAATGAAACCCTTTCAAATAGCACAGCTCTCGCTCCTTCTGAAAGCTCAACAAGCTATGGTACTCCATGTCACTTCTTTCATGGTTCTGCTTGGATTCATGTGGTATTGAGCAGTCTTCTTTTGTATGCATATTCTTTGTGACATAGAAGTTGGAATTCTGCACACGTAAGCAGCTGTAGCTTCAACATATTTGTTAAGATGTTTGGATTGGTTCCATTTAGAAAGGTGCCACGGACCCAATTTTGTACGTAGAGGAAGGGTCAAAGATGGCAATAGGGGTTTTTTCATTTGAGGTAAATCGATCAAGGTGTATGATCAATCTATCAAAGAATAGAAAAGAAAAAAAAAATACAGAAGAGATGGATGTGATCAAATTGGATTTAATGTACCATTTTTTATTTATTTATTTTTATTTTATTTTAGGATTTAATTTATTATACTTCCTATTTATTAAAGGATTTTTATTTTGGTTTAGCCACCAACACTTGATATTCATTCATGAAATTGGCTGACTCTTCCTATTTATAAAAGCATTTTGGTGCTTTACATACTAACGCCCACACTTTATCTTAACGGACCATTATGCCCCTCTCGTTCTCACTCTTATCCGATAAGCACCTACTCTTATTTCTCCATGAAAGTGGCTTATGATCTTTAAATGAACAAAAAAAAATAAAAAATTAAGTGGCTTATGAGCACTCCTAAAGGTGGGCACGGGCCGAGTTGGCCCGCGGGCCGCTCGGCACGGCACGCTCTTCGACACGGCCCGCCAGCTGGCCCGGCCTGGCACGGTGGTCGTCGGGCGTGCCGTGGGCCGTGCCACGGACAGGGAATTGATTTTTTTGGCACGGCCCAGCACGAGCCCGCTCTTGGTCCACCGTGCTGGCCCGCAGGCACGGCCCGCGTGCCAACGACTATAATGCCGTTGCTCCAACGACCATTTTTTTCCCAAATTTTTTCCCAAATTTCCTATAAATACCCAATTCCATTCACTTCCCAAATCACAAATTCACAATCTTTTTTTCTTAATCTCTTATATTCTCTAATAATCCTTAATCTCTTATATTATCTAATAATTCTCTTAATATTATTTCTTAATATCGAAAAAAATTAAAAGTTCGTAATCGTAATTAGTGGAAAGCGTACAAACACGGTTATAAGATCTAAACTAATCAGTAATTTATTATTGTTGTTATTGTTATTATTACAATTATTGTTATTAATTATTATTGTTGTTATTGTTATTGTTATAATTGTTGTTATTAATTATTATTATTGTTATTATTATTGTTAAAATTGTTGTTATTAATTATTATTATTGTTAATTATGGCATCGAACAACCCATCATCTAGGGAGAAGGGGAAACCCCGACTTATCCGTGATAGTAGTTTTAGGGAATCACCTAATTCAACGAGCCCCCAAATTCCGAGTCCGTCCATTCCAACCATGACACCGGTAATGTCCCCCTAGGCTTTGACCAATTTTGGCACGATGGTGCTTCCGGTTTTCAACCCTATAACATGAATAATATGCCCGGATTTCCACCACCAAACCAATTTCCACAATTCGGTCAATTCCCACCAAATTTCTTTGACCCACAAAATTTTTATTTTAGCCAAGTAGCCAACAAGATACCCTAAATGCCTCCAGTTCTACTACTAACCAACAAATCCCCGATTCTACAAACACCCAATTCCCAAACCCACATGAGGAATGGTTAACCGAAAGTGAGATGATACATATCAAAAGCCGCAAAAGTGAGGTATGGCGTTATTTCTTCCTAAGTAGAGACTAAACAAGAGCAAAATGTAAAACATGTGGTCATTCATTCTCGGTAAAATCCGAATCGGGGACGGGACACTTAAGTAGACACATGAGAAGTTTTGCAAAACCAGCTAGTGATCCAACCCAGCCAAAAATTTCCCAATTCTATCCACACGGCTTTACCTACAACTATGAGAGGGATAGGGATGAACTAGGAAAAATGATAGTACACACCGAACAACCTTTTCTTTTCTTCTAAAGTGACCCATTTAACACTTACATTAATAAAGCATTATAACCCCAACATAAAAGAATGTCTAGGAAAATCGTTCGTTCCGCCGCCATGAAAAACTTCCTAGAGTACAAAATGCGGTTACAAGATGAATTGAGTAAACTTAACTGTAGAGTGTCTTTGACTGCCGATTCTTGGGATAGTGGTTATAAATATCACTATTTATGTGTGACTTTCCATTGGGTAGATGATCAATGGTTGTTACAAAAACGAATAATCCATTTCAAAATGCTGGAATACCCCCACACTGGTATTAACATTGCTCATCATTTAATGGAAGCAATAAATGAATATAACCTCCGAGAAAAAATCATGTCTATGACATTTGACAATGCAACCGCAATGACATATATTGCTAATTATGTCAAACAAAACTTGACCGATGTAATATTAGATGGTGACACACTTCATACTAGATGTGTTTGCCATGTCCTTAACTTGTGTGTACAGGATGGACTTAGAGCAATGGGTCCATACTATAACAAAATTAGAGAAGCTATTATGTCTATTAATAGCTCAAACATGAGATACCAAGAATGGAAGAGTTTTCTAAGACAATAAAAGATAAGGGCAATAAAAATCAAAACCGATTGCCCAACTAGGTGGAATTCCACCTATGACATGTTAACCAAAGCAATTGAGTACAAGAATCCGTTGACAATTTTTTACAACCAAAATTTCCAAACAATGCTATATATGAGGATGATTGGGATAAATGTGAACGATATATGCAATTTTTACAGTTATTATATAACATGACGTATTGTTTTTCTTCTGTTTATAATCCTTGTGCTCAAAAATTTCTTTTAAATGCATGTTTACTCGCCCAATTTTTTCGCTGATCATCGCAACCAAAGTGATTATGATCAGTATCTTTCATCAATGGAAACAAAGTGGCGTAAATATTATAGTGAAATTCCTTTGATTTATATTTTTGCTTCCATATTAGATCCTAGGAAAAAGTATGAAAATACATTTATGTTAGTTGACATTTACTTTCAATGCATGCTTCTTGACAATGATGTAGATACCTATAAGACTAATGTGAAGGATCAGTTTTTTGCTTTATATAGAGTCTATGAAACCAAATATGACACCGTTCCTCACTCAGGCCCTTCCCAACCATCCAAAAACGTAAGTAAGAAGGCCAAACATTTATTTTCACAAGCTACTAACTTGATTTCAAGGTTTTCAAGTGATTCATCAATAAGGAAAACGCAAAGCGATGTCTCGGAGTTGCAAATGTACCTGAGTTACGACTTCACCAAGGGCATAGACGACGATGAGATAAACAACCTCGACCTCCTTGCACGGTGGAAACAACAAAGCACGAAACATCCAACTTTGGCGGCAATGGCACGAGACATTCTTGGTATCCAAGTCTCCTCCGTTGCCTCTAAACGAGCTTTCAGCGCATCCGGGAGGGTTTTAGACGATAGAAGAACAAGTCTAAAACCCGAAACACTTGAAATGTGCGTGTGTTTCAAAGATTGGTTGGATGCGAAAAATCGCTCACAAGACCGTTCTTATGACGACAACGACAACGATGAAGGAACCTCCCCTTCCGACCGTTCGCGTTCGGCTAGTTCCCAATCTATGTAACTAGCCGATGACCTTGAAGCCGAAGACGAAGGCGCACATGAAGAAGAAGAAGAAGAAGAAGAATAGACAATTTTTGTATATTGTACGATTTTTATCATTATCAATATTATCATTTTACGATTTTTATCATTATCCAATTTTTGTTTAATATCCTTGTACGATTTTTATCATTATTATCATTGTACAATTTTTTCAAGTAATAATAATATGAAGTATGCATTATTCACATCCAAAGTCCAATTTGCCTCTTTTTCCCGTTAAGTTATAATTTGTAAATTAATATAAAAAAATAAAATTATAATAATTAATAATACAAAAATAAATATAATAAATTATAAACATTAAACTATAAAATAATAGTATAAACTAAATATAAATATAAATATTAAATATAAAAAATAATAAAACATAAATATTAAACTTAATTTATTTTAGAAAAATAATAATATAAGATTATAAGTTATAAACTATTAATAAATAGATAAATAAATAAAAAAAAAAAAAAAGAAAAGGCAGCAGCCTACCAGGCCAGCACACTCGGCACGAGCCCGCCTGGCACGTGGGCCATGCCGTGGGCTGGCCTGCGAATTTGGGTGGCACGACACGACACGCCTACTCCAGCATGGTGGCACGACACGACATGGCCCGCAGGCACAGACCGCGGTAGCACGGCTCGGCATGATGCACACCTTTAAGCACTCCTCCATTGATGCAACTTCCAAGCTTTCTCCGCCAATACAGACCACCATCTCCCCCATGCCATGCTATTCTAGTTCGTCTTTCAAAAAACAAATCTCCCCCATGCCATCACCATCTTCTCTCACCTACCACCACCACAAACACCACCTGCCATCATCTCGTAGGTGGAAACGCCTGAATTTTTCGTTCCCACATGTAGGTTTCGAAAACTTCAGTCGTTTCCAACAAAACGCCTAAAGATATCATAACCCGCTGGTGGGAACGAAAAATTCAGGCGTTCCACCCGCGGGTTATGATATTTCCAGGTGTTTTTCGACCACCTTCTTTCTTTGATTTTCGCTACCCCATTAAACGTCTCTGTGAAGAGGTGGTAATTTTAATCCCATTTAAATTATTTTCAATTTTATGGTTAATTAAGGTCTTTTTTACAATTACATACCTGTAATCTTGTATATGTGAAAAATCAGCAATTTAAGTTGTTTGCAAATGTCATTCATATAAATAAAATTAGTGTATTGGGCTGATTGTGTGTCCAATGTATTGTGTGTATTACCAATTTTAGGAGAAAGTTCCTAAGCCATCTCACTTTTAATGGAGAAAACGGAGTAGTTGCTTCAATGGATGAGAGTGAGAAAGAGAGGGGGGAAAATAGTTTGTTTAAGTCAAAATACGGGCGTTAACATGTAAATGAGGACAACGTTCAGTTTTTCACTTATTTTTTATTTTTTTTATTTTTTATATGTACTAGATTTAAACCTGTGCATCAGTCTATTTTAATAATTAATCAATGCTCATTATTTGTGTATCCGACTCCACTTATGGGATTGAAACTTTGATTGATTGTTCATTATTTGTGTGAGATTGACAGCAGATTGGTTTATACGGTATTTAAAAAAAATGCTGAATTTAAAATAGTGATAAACAGCCGCACACAAGATGCACTGTTTTAATTTTGTCTAATTGACTAGTCAGAAGATTTCTCATGCGTTTGCATAGCAATGTTGGGAATTATCCTTTGACAACCCGAATCAAACTTCACATACAGATTCCATATGATAACCATCTCTGAT